TACAAACTTTCAGGACCGCCACAGACTGTGACAAAGTTTCTTGTTTTTGTTTTTGTGAACAAGTGGTTTTTTTTTTTCTTTCAATATTTATTTACTGTATGATGAATAATGTATATGTATTGAAGCTGAAAACATTTTCTTCTTTTTTAGTTGATTGCCAATGAAATATCTTCGATAGATTTTTTATCTTCGATAGACTTTTTTGATAAAAATGTCTCCTTTTTAAATTTACGTAAATATATACTTTGCAATTAACACTAAATTTTATACACCTTTAAAGGTTTTCAACACAGAACTTCAACTAATCACTTAACATCATGTGAACTATCTGCTGGTTTGCCGCATGTTTGCTAGCCCTATAGAGTCCCGCAGTGCAGTGTAAATGTTACATTCAGCCGGGTCGTAGTTTTTTATATATAAAAGTTGTCAAGCAAAATATAAAAGTTCACCTGATGTTAAGTGAATACCGCCGCCCATGGACATCTGCAACAACCGAGGGTTTTTAGATGCGTTGACAAACTTTTGAAAAGTGGGATCCTCTCCAACGAAATGTGAAAGTACAATAATATCACACTAACACTTCAAACGAGGTCGTGGTATTTCCCCGGAAAAGCCTTCCCATTCGTGCAACACTAGATGTTGTGTGGCACTACCACAGTTAGTTAATATCTTAAAGTTTGGCAACGCATCTGCAACCATGGGCGTTTTAGTTTGATGACTCCGTGGCGCAGTTGCCAAGGTATTGGCTCCGGCGACGGGGTTACTCACAGATAGTTGTTTCGCATCTGGATGACATAAATTTCACATGGACAACCGTGTGAAATTTATGTTAGTAAAACGATAAAAAAAATCTGGTAACATCAGGTGTACTGATTTCCCTCTTTTCATCTACTCACAGAAAATAAAGTAAGCAATTTTGCATTATGTTTCCTAAAGTAAATTTATAATCCTTCATTTCATTAATCCTAGTCAAAAAGTTTGGGTATACTGCTGGCTCTTTGCTAGGTTTAGCTCTAAAGAAACGTTTGTACTTGTTTTGTACTTGTCTTGTCTTGTTTTTTTAATCTGTTACTATTAAACTTGCTAAAATTTGTCAAGTATTCATATAGTTTTCATATATATTCATATTGGCTACATATTTTTATACAACATGTTTTATAGCTTCAAACGAGGAGTCCTTCTTGATTCAGGGTTCAGGTCTCCTGGTCCAGGGTTCTTTCAACGAAATAAACTCCAATTATAGTGATTTAGAAGAATAATGGATCGTTTCGGTTTGTAATTCTTCGAATAGTGTTATATGTAAACTATATGGCCACGGTGATAGAAAGCGGTAAAAACTTATGCGATTGCCAGTCGATGACATAGTTACAAGTGATTTAATGCACGGAGGGTTGGAAAATTCAAATCTGCTATCATAAAATATGTGTATTTCATTGTGTAATATCTTTGAGTCGTTTATGAATTGATTGCTATGCTATAAAAGATTCCGGAAAATTCTCGCAACGACTTGAACACGTCGCATACAACGTTATTCCTCTAAAATAAAAATCCTTATGTCGCTAAACTAATCATATGCTGTAGTGACCTGAAAACTCAGACTGAACTTAAACCGGTCACGTAGTTGGTTTCCACGAAAATTCGAGAAATGGAATCTTTCCAACGAAATCAACCGAGATCTTTGGATAGTCGAAATTCTTATGAATAATGGATTGTTTTCGCCGTCCTACCGTCACTCGATGAAAGGCTAACCGGCAAACAGTCAGTTCATTTGAATATTCATATAATAATTAAGTTTCTACGAGTATTAATAAAGCCCAGGGCCGGAAATGACATAGGTCTGTATGCCGGCTATTTGCAAATTTACGTACAAACCGATGTTGATTTGTTCCAAAACGCAATCGCTGAAATAAATTCAAACTTAAATGCTCTTTATGATCGGTCGTCACGAATTGGAGTGCCAGTTAACCCTACGAAGTGTGAAGCCATGCCAGCTAGCAGCTCTAGATTGTTGTCCAAAGTTGACTATGCAAGCATTGACATTGCTTTAAGCAAGCCACCTAGGGCAGCATGACAGACAGTGTCCGTATCAAATTTTGTACCAAAATTGGATAAAACCAAATTCAAATAGTCGTACGGAGTAAAACTAATTAAATCGTGCACAGCAAATCACTCTCGTGATGTTATTCCCGATTAGACTGCCAACAAGACTGCGAATCTATCAAACCCGTATTAAATAAAAACTCTTTGCTTTGCTGCAAATTATCTTATATTTGACGAAAATTGCGCTAACGATGGCAGTGGGCTTGATAATGATGCTATAAGCGTAATAGTTTTTAGGACTCCATACCCAAAGGGTAAAACGGTACCCTGTACTAAGACTCCGCTATATATTTCATTACTCAGTAATTTGTATCTAAATGTAATTTCCAAAGTACACGATTTACCAAAAAAAGAACAAACCGAGCAAAGCTCGGTCCTCCGAGTACTATATATATATATATATATATATATATATATATATATATATATATATATATATATATATATATATATATATATATATATATATATATATATATATATATATATATATATTAGTTTAGATGTCCGTCGCTTTGATGAAGCTATTGATTAGTTCTTCCTTATTTAAAACTTAGAAGAATTCATCAAAATATCACTTTTCATTTTATCCAAAAATTGCAAGTAAAATTTCCACTTTTGCAACGTCAAAGATTAAAAGACCAATTGCATGCCGGCGTAACAAAGAGAATAAAATTTGATGAAAAAAGTAATTATGCTTTTCTCTCATTTGAATAGTTTACTTTTTTAAATAACTTTATGTAACATTTGTACATTCGTCTGTTTATCAATGGGACCAATTAAATATCTCAAAGAAAAGAATAAACAATGTGAACAAAATTTCATTTCATTCCTTATATTTTTTTTTCTTAATCTAAATGATTTTTTTATCATTCAGTCCGTAGACTATTAACTCTTCGTGGAGGGCAGAACTCATGGCATGGCCAGATCCCACGAGGTTGAGACACCCCCGCTTTTCACATTTTGAAGTCGAAAGCTACTTTAATTTTCTGGCGGGCTCGGATACTGACTCCAAAACTTCTGCCCATTGTTAAGCGTTTGGATCAGCCCAAGTCAAGTCTGTGTCTTCATGCTTGATGGCACGCATGCGTGTAGCATACACGAATATTTAAGTTATATAATAACTCTTGTGTAATAAGAGCTTTTTCAATTCATTCTTAAACTGATTGTTTTTTTAATGCCTTAACTTTATTTGGTATTTTATTGTGCACACATAAAATGACCGGTGAAAGATCCTGGTTGAAAGAGGGCTAATGAGGAGCTTGATAACGCTAATTTATTTCTGTATCGAAGGTTTCGACAGATCACGGTACTGTGAGAAAATTTTGGTAAAATAGTATGCTTTCGTATCTGTTTTACTTGTGTATATGATGGCTTCCACACGAGACAATCGGTATCGGTGTGACCCACACATAAGTCTTCTGGATCTATAGGGTTGTCCCAAGGAGGTTTGACGTCAGCCAGGCGGCCTATCGTAAAAGACCCTGGTAATAACATAAACATCATTTTTGACATGTTATGCCGACCCTATCTAAATGGGATAAGAGCAGTGGCAATATACATAAAGTAGTATGAGTTGTTGAAGTAGCTGGGTACTCTAATTCTATCTAATAACAAAATTGGACCGGAACAATATTAAGTTTCAAAACTTTTGCAATATTCATCTTTTGAATTTCTTATCGCGGTATTTGTAATACATCAATAGCTTTTTTTATCTCATTTAAAACGTAATAATATTTCCAACAGGTATTTACACTTGTTTCAAATAAATGCATTAAAAAAGTTACGCTATATATGCGGAGTGCTTGGAAAAATAAGAAGCGATAACCGACCACCCGCGGTCTTTATTGTGGTTGGAGCACAAAGACTCCGTAGACGACCTCGTCTACGGAGTCTTTGTTTCGAGGTAAAAACCAGTATCGAGGTCGTAGAGGGTAAAAACGAACAAGAAGGTTACTCGCTTATGCTGTTCCTGATAAACAAAACCTGTATTTTATTTTACATATATGAAAGCTTCGTAGCAAGAATTGTAAATACTGAGGCATGAAACATACTTGTGCTGTACATGAAAAGCACTAGTATTTATAAGTAATATACAAGTGCTAAAAATGCTAAATAACAATGTAGAAAGAAGGTGTTAAGATTTTCGTCGCTGTGGCTATCAGCCGTTTAGCTCAGTGGCTAGAGCGTCAGGCCGCGAATGCCGAAGACGTAGGTTCGATTCCCACAGCGGCGACAATCTTTTCGTACTTTTTCTACATGTTTTAAAAATAAACAAGTCTTAATAAAAAAAATTGTCCGGTATCTGTTAGTTACAGAACTCCCAACGGTTCGTTTTAGACTCATTTAGCTCTAGCTTGAAAAACCTTTAATGACACTTTAATGAAAGCTTTCATTAATAAAAAACATCTCAATATTTCATCCTCACCAACGATAAATCAAGTTAACGGTTTGCTACAAAAAATTAATTTCACGAACGTGTAAAAATTATTTGCCCGTCAGAAAGCGCGACAGTTAAATTGCTTTTTGTACGATTTCCGTTCCACTGGATTGAGTATTAAGCATCGACAATGATTTACATTTGTTGGTTTGTTGGCGGAACGTTATCGTATCTCCTGAAATGTAAACGTTTGTTTTATAATGGTCTAATGGCTGGAGCGTTGAAAACCAATCTCAGGATTGCTTGTGTGTGTGTGTATATATATATATATATATATATAAATCCCCTGTCACAGTGTTTGTCCGCGATGGACTCCGAAAGTACTAGACCGATTTCAATACATAGGATCTCAATGTAGAATAAAAAAACTTATTGCGAATTCATTGTTTTCATAAAACGTGTGATTAGAATGTTGGTGTATTGATTGCAATCTGCTTTCAGCTATTCTGTAAGTTACAGGATGGAGTGCAAGGGGTCCCAACCAACAGGAGTGCAAGGGGTCCCAACCAACATCTTTCGGGACCCAAGCCAACCTCGCCTGCCCGCGGTGCACTCTGCTGATCAACGAAAGAGGCTCTGGCAACCCGCCAACACGCACTGGACCAGCGCGGCGGGTTATGGTCCGTATCCCCCACATGATAGTGGACAAAGTAGCACGGCCCCTAGTGCCCGGGGGCTCCGGCTGCAAGGCTGGCGTTGACGGGCGTCGGTCGAGCGTCGGAGCCAGGGGTGCTAACAATCTCCGGGCGGGATGTTACCGTCTAACGACCTCTGGCTATTGCATAACTGACAACCGACGTAGGTTGTCGCTGGTGACATACAATACGCGCACCCTAAGGACAGACGAAAAGATAGCTGAGCTGGAAGAGGAAATGAGTAAGCTGCATTGGGACATAGTGGGTTTATCTGAGGTCCGAAGAGAGGGTGAGGACACGATGACCTTAAAGTCTGGCAGCTTATTCTACCACCGGGAGGGTGACCAGCAGTCCCAGGGTGGTGTCGGGTTCCTCGTTCACAGGTCCCTCGTAAACAACGTGGTATGTATCACGAGTGTGTCGAGCAGGGTGGCATTCCTTATACTCAAAGTATCAAAGAGGTACTCGTTGAAGGTCATACAGGTCTACGCACCGACCTCGGCGCATCCGGACGATGAAGTGGAAGCTATGTATGAGGACATCAGTAGGGCCATACATACTTCCAAAACATACTTTACTGTTGTCATGGGGGATTTTAACGCGAAACTAGGCAGAAGAGGCGATGATGAGTTGAGAGTGGGGAAATTTGGATATGGGAGCAGAAATCCAAGGGGCCAGAAGTTGGCTGACTTCCTTGAGAAAGAGGAACTCTTTATGATGAACTCCTCCTTCAAGAAGCAGCCTCATAGGAAATGAACTTGGATGAGTCCCGACGGCTGCACAAAAAATGAGATTGACTTCATTTTGTCGACAAAGAGACGGATATTTAATGATGTCTCCGTGATACACAGGGTGAAAACCGGGAGTGATCACAGAATGGTTAGAGGCACATTGAGTATTAATGTCCACCTAGAAAGGTCTCGCTTAATGAAGTCCACGCTCCGACCCACTGCAGCCCACATACAAAACCCCGAGAGCTTTCAACTCGAGCTCACAAATCGCTTCTCCATTCTAGTGTATTGCGTTTCTGTGGACGAGGTCAACAACAGGCTGGTAGAAACTGTCCACGAGGTAGGGAAAGCTTTCTTTAGACCCCGCTGGAAAGATAGACCTCAAAAATTGTCAGATCATACCCTCGACCTTATGGCGGAGAGACGCTCAATGACGCTGCAGACTTCCGAGGACGCTGAAGCATATCGGCAGCTCAATAGAAGGATCTATCAGTCCTTGCGACACGATATCCGTAAATTTAATATTAATCGTATTAAAGATACGATAGAGCAGAATAAGGGCTCCAAAGTGTACGCAAGAGACATTTTTATTGGGCAGAGCCAGTTGACGAAGTTGAAGACGGAAGACGGCAGTGTAGCATCTACTAAGTCAGAGGTACTGAGAGAGATCGAAAGGTTCTACGGACAGTTATATACCTCCAGAGCCAAGCCTGTTGACGATTTGGTTAAAGATCCAAGAGCCAAACTAACTCGACACTATACACAAGATATCCCGGACATCAGCCTGTTCGAGATCAGGATGGCCCTCAAGCAGCTTAAAAACAACAAGGCGGCGGGTGAGGACGGAATTACATCAGAGCTTCTGAAAGCGGGTGGAACACCGGTACTGAAAGTCCTTCAGAAGCTCTTCAATTCCGTCCTATTCGAGGGTACTACGCCCAGAACATGGAACGGAAGCATGGTGGTCCTCTTCTTCAAGAAAGGTGACAAAACCTTGCTGAAGAACTACAGGCCCATCTCGCTTCTGAGCCATGTTTATAAGCTGTTTTCGAGGGTGATCACGAATCGTCTCGCACGGAGGTTTGATGACTTCCAGCCTCCCGAACAAGCCGGTTTCCGTAAAGGCTATAGTACCATAGACCACATTCATACGCTGCGGCAAATTATACAGAAGACTGAGGAGTATAATTTGCCACTATGCTTAGCGTTTGTGGACTATGAGAAAGCCTTCGATTCGATCGAGACTTGGGCAGTGCTGCAGTCTCTTCAAAGGTGCCAAATTGACTATCGGTACATCGAAGTGTTGAAGTGCTTGTATAAAAACGCCACCATGTCGGTCCGAGTACAGGATCAGAGCACAGAGGCTATTCCGTTGCAGAGGGGAGTGAGACTCTTTACAAATGCAATGGAAGACGCCTTGAAGCTCCTGGATTGGAAAGGATGTGGCATCAATATCAACGGCGAATACATCACTCACCTACGGTTTGCCGATGACATCGTAGTCATGGCAAAGTCTTTGGAGGAGCTCAGCACAATGCTCGAAGACCTCAATAGAGTCTCCCAGCGGGTGGGCCTGAAAATGAACATGGAAAAGACCAAAGTCATGTCAAATGTCCATGTGACGCCCCCCCCCCCCCCCCCTATTGTTGGGAGGCTCGCCACTCGAAGTTGTTGATAGCTATGTCTATCTGGGACAAATGGTCCAACAAGGCAAATCCAACTTCGAGAAGGAGGTCAATCGACGAATTCAGCTCGGCTGGGCTGCGTTCGGGAAATTGCGCAGCGTCTTTACGTCCAAAATACCTCAGTCCTTAAAGACGAAAGTCTTTAACCAGTGCGTGCTACCAATGATGACCTACGGTGCCGAGACGTGGTCTCTCACTGTGGGCCTCATAAGGAAGCTCGCTGTCGCACAGCGCGCTATGGAAAGAGTAATGCTTGGGGTTTCTCTACGAGATCGAATCAGAAATGAGGAGATCCGTTATTTATATTTTATTAATTTTAATAAATATGAAACCATTTAAACCCTCATGTCTTTCATTTCTGTTCTATTACTAAGTAGCTTTAGTAATTCACCTTCGAAATGCTCATTAATTTAAAAGTGAATTATGTACGATGAATTATGTATATGTACATGAATTATATAATTTTCAATTGTTTTTTTCTTTATTTGAAAAGTTGCCAAACGAACAGACGGGTCACCTGACGTTAAGTGAATACCACCGCCCATGGACATCTGCTCACCCGAGGGTTACAGATGCGTTGACAACCTTTTGAATATTGAGCTCCGGCTACCTCACTCACCGGACGAAACGTGAAAGTATTCGTCATACTTCCATTTACGCTGGTCTTCTAGGTAGTGGTACTTACCCGGCAGGCTGAAACTTCGTCAACTACGTTTTTTAGGTTTTTCTTTCTTACTCAAACTTGTGCTCATTTTTAACTAAACTAGAAATGATTAAATTACAAATTTAAAAATATTATTCATCTAGAGTTAGAAAAATGTTGTGACGCGAGAATTTAACTGAGGTGGGGCCACGCAACATTCTTCACTGTTGCACGAATGTTGCCATCCGTTGAATTACCACGAACCCACAGAAAACCAGCGTGAAGAATGGTAGAGAAAGAATTTGTATCTGAATTTATTCTTCTTTCTCCTGCCCTGATCCCACAATAGGTGGAGTCGGAACAACATGTTCATCATTTATTTTCGGAACATTGTTGTTATTTCAGTTATCGGCTTTATTTTATGACCGGCCGCCAGCCTGACGTCAACCCTCCTTGGGAATTCTAGCGAATTTATATTTATCTAATCTAAAATATTTTATAACTAGTAGATATGCAAATATGGATACGAAACATAAGAATATGCAAACTTAAATCATTTTTAAAAAGGAAACTGTTGTCCTGATCGTCGTATCGTCTCTAAATTAACTTCAAAATAATCCAGGATCGTAACTTGGGCCTTCGTTCAGAATTTTAGAGGTTCTGAGCCTTGCATCTACACTTGTTTCAATCCATTGACATGACTATGTTCCTTGTCATAAAACTAAACTAGACTAGACTTTAAAACTTCATTTTTAAAGTAGGAGATCAAATTAATAACTAAGCTTTATTCTTACACGTACGTAATATATTTTCGCTCCATAGGTCATGCGAGTATTTTGAAAGCTCTCTTGATGTTTAATTAGGACTGTTTGGGAAAGGTCATTCATGAACGTCATTGTATCGTATAATTACATTACTTTATATTTATTCTTGCAGCCTGGCGATAAAAAATTCAAATATCGCTCAATTTAAAATAAAGACGCTCATTGAAATCTGTTATTACTATTGTATTTTAAAAATCAAAAATTAATATATCAGTGGTAAGTAGCCTCGAGCACTTGGTGTTTTTTTTTAATCAACTTATTAATTAACTTACATGTGCGGGAAAAAACATAAAATGAAACACGAATTCATTCTATGTGAATAAATTCTTTATGAATGACGAATTCACAAACGATTGCTTGGTTTTTCCCTTTCTTCTTCCTAGAGGATTCTTATCATATTATCATATATTCATATAGTTCGTATCATATTATCATATATTCACTGCAATTCAATCCAGAAACTATTGCACCATAAATATGAACCACGTGGACGTAGATATAGGTTTCTATGTTTCCCTGACCACCAAGGTCCTAAAGGAAACCAGTAATAAGCCTGTCAGCAGTTGAACCAGCAAGTAAGTACGTACATTCTTATTATACGAATTGTAAGATACGATACGTTATAATGTAATATAATGTATCGTAACATTAACATACAATAAATACAGATCGCCAATATATATTTAATAACGGATATTCAAAGTTTACGTCGAATGCAGGCATTGAAATGACTTCAACACGAGAACGAAGCTATTACATTATGTATCAATATTTTAAATTGAACAAGAAATATTTATTTTAAGTCAATAAACCTTTCTGTTTTATCACACGATGTATATAATTTAATGATATTACATTATCGATGCACATTTTGAAAATACTCATTACTATTTTTTTTTTTAATTAAAAGAAAAATGTAGTTTATTTAACCATGCCATTTCAATGATAAACTGTATAGCTATATACTCACACAAATACGGTTGGTGCGAGTGTAAAGCAATGCATTTACGTACATAAGAATACGAAACAGTGCAATAAAATTGACATTTGTTGTAGGGCGACACGGCATCTAGAGGTATACATATATACAATCTAAGCTGATATAAAGACGAATGACGTTCGTATCCAGTCATTAAAACGTCGCAATGCTGATGGACGTGTCCGATTGCGTTTGTCAAA